CATGCACGTGCACACACATCACTTTAAACTGCCAGTTGCAAAAGGTGCATTGCATACTTAACTGCTCTGCTGAAATTACGATGGTCATGAAAAATCTGCTTACTGGAGTTGTTCTGAGATGAATGTTTACATTCGTATGTTTAGAGCTGCACAGATTACAGCCTTATTTCCAGAGAACTGTAAATATGTACAAAATGTACCGCTCAGGAAAGCCCCTCACTCTGTTAGAAAGCCGTGTCTGCTTGACAAAGGTCTTCCCTTCACAAAAAAAAAAAAAAAAAAAAAAAAAAAAGAAAGAAAAAGAAAAAAAAGAGAAAAAGAAAGAAAGAAAAACAAGAGAGCAAAATCCAAAAGCTACAAAGGTGCAATATGCAAACTTGAAACTTAAATTTTAGCCTTGTCAATTAAACAACGTATCACTTTCAAACTAACTCTGTCCCCTGACCCTGTTTACTTCCAATTAGATATATGCTGATTTTGCCAGGAATTGTAAATTACAGAGGTGCCTTTTCAGGTTCCTGAAATAATCCTGGGAGTGGGGGAGGGGGAGGAGTAAGCATAAATTTATACCAAATAGGCTCTACAGAGTTGAGGACGTGAGATATGGAGCCCAGCCCTCCCAGCAGCCCGGGAACCCCGGGCTGAGGAGTGGGGCAGGGAGTGCCCCAGGCCCAGCACCCACTGGACATCCCTGGCAGGCCACTCCGCTCCCCTGGGCTCCCCTCTGCGCAGGCAACAGCAAAAGGCAAGAAGTTAAACAGCCAAATAATTTTCACACGTGTACACCTCAGTTTAGTGCAAGCCACTAATAAGGACATTAGTGTTTTTACTACTGTTGGAGAAATTAGCCAGGTACAATAACTCACTGGGGGAAAAAAACCTAAGTTGTTTTTTTTTAAAAAAAAAGGGTATTATTTCAAATTCTGGTACTTTGGCAACTGTTTCTGATGGCATTGTAATTATTATTGTGAACGGAATTAATTATCATTTCAGACTTAACAATATCAAGTCATATCAGTGAGTTGCGTAAAAATAACCAATTTTCTCCCCTAAAGGTAAGTTCTAATAATGAAGAAAAACACAGGCTTTTCAAGTGAGAAAGGTTACCATTTTCTTGCAATGTTTACAGACGATAAAACTTAAAATGTATTAGTGATGAGTTGCCACCATCTTCCAATTCCTGTTGTACACAAAAATCAACAGAATTTTCTAGAGGAAAAAGCAACCGAGGGAAGCGCGTGTACTTCATGGACTATATTCCATAGGTATTTGCCTCAAGTAAAGTTTGCCGGTAAATTTATTGGGAAGCGCTCGGCTGCCAGATGGAAGACAAAAGAAAGTTTTGGACTATGTTTAATTCTCTAGAGCATTTAAAAGGGAACATGTGTAATGCCTTCAGCAACGAGGTATATTGCCTTAAAAGATGTAACTTGCCGTTTACAACAATTTACTTTAAGAAGTGATTGTTCTATAACCTACTTGACTACAGTGGGATAATCTCTTTACTAGTTGTTTATTTAAAACACCACTACTAGCAATAATGCAAAATAGTGGTAGCTGTTGTATGAAGTTTGCTGTTCAATCAAATTACTTGGTGATTTTTTTTACATGGTCTCTGGTCCTTTTTCCTCCAACCGATTTAGCTACCAATAAATTAAAGTTTCTGCAGAAATGAGAGAAATGCTATCATGTTTGTGTTTGTGACTGTTCACACGTGCAAGTGGTTGAGGCACAGAGGGGTAAAAAAGTGGCATTTTCAACGAACAGCAGTATTCTGCAGGAAAATATTCCACATACGCAGTATGTTAAAGAGCACAAATCATGGATAACGTCGTTAATTGTGTTTTTTATGGTTAAGAGGATTGCTGGAGAGAACATGTAATGGCTCATCTTGGGATCTCTTTGGTGAGCTTGAAAGTACAGAAGGACAGCAAGGCCTGAAAATGAAAAGACCAGGCTAGCAAAATGAGGGAGGCATTGGGCTCTACCTTGCTGAAGTCGTGCTTGCAGACATAACCCATTCCCCTGGAATTTAGACCTGCAACCGTGCTCAAGTAAGTGGAGCCGGGCAGCTCCCAGGCCGGGCGGCTGGTGGCAGGGCGGGCAGGCGGGCAGGCGGGCAGCGAGCGCTGCGGCCTGCCTGGAAACCCCTCTGCAAGGCGCAGATCGCCGGCCTGAGGCCTTCCACGTTGCATTTTTTCACTGCGCTGATATAATTATTTGCCGTGCCCTAGGCCCCTCTTCTCTCCCCCTCTCCCTTTCACTCCGAGGCGGCCTCACAAGCCCCCGCTTTAAAAGGCCCGAGATGTTTTGCATGAAGCGCTCACAATAGGGGTTGAGAGAATTGACAGTTTCAAAAACAAGGCGCCCTGTCCGTTCCAGATGCCGAGGATCCCTCTCCCGCACCCTCTCTCGTTTGCTCCTCGCTGCTGGTGGCTTTATCCTTAGCATTGCAAATATACGGCAACAGCTGTGTTTGTAAACAGGGGGGAGGCCGGAGCCCCTCGCCGCCG